TTGTTTATCCTATCTAGTATTCTACAGTACATTACCAAATATTAAATAATATTATGTTATACAATATCATGTCAAACACTGGATATTATTAAAATTTAATAAAGTCTTATACTATCATGCCTTATACTATCAGGCTTTATCTTATACTGAACACCAAACATGTCCCTCGTGTAGTATTCATTGTATAATATATTTCGAAATTATGTTATTTCACTCATTTTTATTGAAAACGCATTTAAGTGATCCATCTGCCCGTGGTAATACAAAGTAGCATCCTTAATATTCTAGCAAGATAATTACTCTCGGTTACACAAAAAGGCCATGAATTGGTTATAACCTAGTTAAATACTATAAGGGTTTGGTCCATACCCCTCAAGGGCGTGAGTTTAAACTCCAATGGTTAATGTGAGAACTTTGTTGGTAGGTGATATGTAATCCTTTTCAGAAATTCTCAAAGAGGTTGAGGGTCTTCTCTGACCCTAGTGGGAAATCGGTGTCTAACCCCACTCAAACTTTTAAAAATTAAAAAAAAATGCTATAATGGCAAGCCAACCTACTTAATTTCAAAGGCTTCAAAATAATGAGGATTTAATGGCTTTTTTTTATACAGATCACAGCTTTTAAGATAAGCTTTCTCTAGTCATTAAGATTTTTCTGTTTTTTTCTTGACAGGGCTAACTGTTTTATTCATCACCGAACAATATATCAATCATTGTGTTATAGCACCTCAGACAAATCATTTTCGACCATACATGATTTGGTTTATATAAGTTTTTAAAGATTATTGAAGAAGATAGGTTCGAATATTAAGTCCAGTTAAATTGAATCATCAACATCCATTTAAAACAATCACTACACAAAAAAAAAAAACACACATTAATATATATATATATATATATATATATATATATATAACATAATTTTATATTAATTACAATATTGACGTAGGCAGAATTTTATTATAAGGGGGTAAAATTATAATATAAATTTTTTCTTTGAAATTATAAACATTTTTGTGACAAAAAATAAAAATAATACTTATAATTAAAGGCGTCTATATATTTTGAAAGAGGTAAACTTCAATAAAAAATAAAAAATCATGCTCAATTATATTCTAAAGGCTTGTATAAATTTGAAGGCGTAACCCGTCCCTTGATCCACCACTGATTAATTATAATTATATTCTCGATTAAGAGTGAAAAGTGTTTAATTGCATTAACTGACTCTACCTAATATTACAACTGCCATATTTAACACTCGAGATAGATGCGGAGGACTCCCATCTTTGATAACAAGCAATGAAATTGACAGAGAAGATAATATTATTGGGAAAAACAAATATTATGTTATAAAAAAATCTTAAATCATGTCATAGAAATAATTAATTGCGAGATCCATTATTTTTTAAATAAAGAATTGATGGGCCTACTTTTGTGTGTCTGTAGAAAAAAAATTTGTGTCATGTAAAAAGAAGAAAATATTACCCAATATTATTTAAGTCTTTAATATTTCTACAATTATCTACATTTTTTTCAAAACGATGTCATTTTGGGTTAAAAAATTAAAAAAATATAAACAAAAAAATTATTATATTCCTAAAATAAATTATAATTATAACATTGATTTTCACCTCAAAATGACGTCATTTTAAATTTAATATAAATAAGTTATCTACATTGACTTATAAAAAAAATAAACCCATTATTTAATATGTACAAATTTGACGGTGAAGATTATGTTTACATCCATTGATTCATGAATTAACGTCAATCAGAACCATATCATGACATTAATGATTAAAACTCTCTCGTAGAGGAGATCTTCCTCGACAAATCTTTAAGTATGTTTTTTTTTTTTTTTTTCTCAATACGTATTTATTGTTTAGTACGACTTTTTGTCAAAGAGTCATTGTAAGGGGATACCCAGTATTTATGTTGAGATCTACCCGATCTGAGTTTTTTACAGTAGGTAGGACCTATGAGTACGTAGGACAAAGACTTAGGGTGCAGACTGTGCTCTATGGTGGCATGGTTGCCTTCTTTTAAGGGTAATTGGAGGACATGGCCTATCAATCACAATAACATGTAGTATCGCGAAAGATCGATTAAAGTGTCATTATTTGAAAAAAAAAATTATTCAAATATCAGATGAATATTATTTTTTATCAGATTGTCACGTGATGTAATTCGCTACAACTGATAGCAAATTATGTTCAGCAATAATTTTATGACACGTGACACATTTTCATAGAGAGAAAAATTGACTGGACGAAGTTCGTTATTAGTGATAGCAAATTTGGTATGCAATGTGACTACGAGTCACGAAATCATACACGAACATAATTCGCTTGACAGTCTGATAAAAAATATTATTCACATGACATTTAAATAAAAAATTTGCCAAACAATAACACCTTGGTCAGTGTTCCTAGTATTGCAATTGCATCACTCTTTTTTCGATTTGGCAAGAATAAATTGAATGGAATATATATGAGATATGTCATTCTATCTATCATTTTTTCTGTCTATCTTTGTCTACTACTCTCCAATATCATTAGATCAGAATCTTAATTAATATTTATTTTTTTCACTCTTCTTTAAATTCTGATCTAACGGTATTGGAGAGTGGTAAACAAAGATAGACAGAAAAAATGGTAGGTAGAATAACTTATCCTTATATATATATATATATATGGCTTATCATTTCTCAAGCTGCTTGAGATAACTTTTTCTCTGGCTACTAAATCATAACCGTATAAAAATATATCAATGATGATAAAGGAAAAAAGAGAAAAAAAGAAATATAACCATTCAAAGGTGAATCAATTAACATAAGAAAATAAATAAATAAAATGACGTAATTTTGGATAGACGGAGATAAATATATCTCAAACTACTTGAGAAATATTTTTCTCACACACACACACACACACATATATATATAGAGGTAGGATCATTTGACACCATTGATCAAAAAAGATCAAAAAAGATCAACGACTCTGATTTGTAAGCATGTGACACCATTGATCTTTTTTTATCTAATGGCTCTCAGATGAGGTGTCAAATTTGACACTGATGTCAAAGGATCCTACCTCATATATATATATATATATATATATATATATATATATATATATATATATATATATATATATGAACTTATTATTATTAATGAAATTACTATGTTTTGATGCACTTTGGTGGTTTTTTTATATTATCTCTTCTCTACAAAATTTCTTTCATTTATAAAATTAGGAGGAGAAATAAAATGAGAGTATCGTGAATGAAATGGAAGATAAAAAACTACCAAAACACAATAGTTTTATTTAAAATGACACAAATTTGTGTATTTTAAAATAATAAATTCTTTTCGCATATAATACACTATAAAATTATAAATTTGTTTTATTATTATTTTTAATTAATAATTATAACTATACATGTTCTTTCCTAACTTACATTTCATACCCTGGGTTATATGTAGTTGTGGCCTTGTGGGTATACCTGCAATAGTGTGTGTGTTTTTTTTTTTTTTTTTGTACTTCAATCTGCAATAGTTTTTTGGTTGAGAAGAATTGTGATTGTTAGGTATTGTAGTCACCATGTTAGGTACAGATCTCTCATCTCTTCTTGTCAGATTTCCACGATATCATTTCTCAAAATATAATATGTAACGATTTTATAACTTCCGTTATCATTATATACCGTACGATCATTGGCGCAGAATTACGAATAGAGTATTGGAGTGGCCTGATTAACAAAGTTTCCGCTAAAAGACGCAAAACTTTTATGGGACCAAAACTTACATTTTATTCAAAAACAAATTGCAAAAGTTTTTTTTTTTTAAATATTTCAAGTTTCAACAACCATAAATGTTACGTGTACAATTTATATTTTTTTGGGTGGAGATTCCCCACATATAATGTGGGCTGTGAATGAAATGGTAAAGACAAGAGAGAGAGCTGAAAAAAAGTAATAATTAAATTTTTGCAAAATGTAAGAAAAAATCTTTTTATAAATAACATCACTATATATGAACAAAATTGGGGTCATGGGTCCCCACTGCCAAGCATTAATCGTCTGTTCTGTTCGACATTTGTCCCGTACAAACATATATTAAAGTTTTCAGGAACATGGCACATTCTAGGCCCATAGCTGGAGTACATTTTTGGTAAGTTAAATAAATAAATTGCAAATACTCTACGCGAAGGTAAATTTCTCAAAATATTAATTGTTTCTATAATAAAATATAAGCTTCGGATGCAAGTGATGATTATTTTTATGAAATATAATTAAAAAAAATATTAGAAGTCAACATTTTGAAATTAAATTTTTCACAAAATAATCTATAAATTATAAATCAATGAAATTTAAATGTAATTGAGTTAAGCTTTCGTGTATAGGCTAGAGGGATAAGGAGAGATATACTACCTCGTGATTTAAACTACATTTTAATAAAATTCATATATAAATAAAATCAACAAACCGAATGTTACTAGTAAACTAAATACAACTTTTTTTCTAATAAAATTCTTAAAAAATTGGTTAACAATACGAACAACTATATCTTAACAAACAATCTAGTTACTGTACGTAGGATCAAACAAAAAATGCAACTCAATGTTATGCCAGAGTTTGAAAAGATGAATCATGAATTCGGTGCGATCGTCACGTTCCACAATAGTAGTGATGAAATGAAAAAACTTACTATCTAGTTTTACTTGAAAACAGTAAAGGTAGGTAACCATTCAAAAGTTTTGTCGGTAGAGGGTAGATACGAAGAAGGATACATTGTACTATGAATACGTCTTTATCCTATGATTTAGCCTCACTATATCAACGTCTAATATTAAGCCAGGTGCCCAAAGATGATACCATGTATCACTGTAGCATTAAATTGATTTCAACTACCAACCAACTTGCCATTGCCACGTGTTGCCTATAGCAATAACTCATGTTCCCATTACCCTTCTATATAAACACCACACAATGCAACACTTATAGTCACCAAGTGAAGTAAGCAATTCAAAAGCAAAGGAAAAGATATATACACATATTGTAATTGGTTTGTGATTTGTTTTAGTTGAGAGAAGGGGAATGGCTAGTGTGAAGTATGCATGCGTGGTTGTGATGATGTGCATGGCATTGGTGGGTGCACCAATGGCCGAGGCTGCAATCACATGCGGTCAAGTGGTGAGCTCGTTAACTCCATGCATCACTTACCTGACGAGGGGTGGGGCACCAACCCCAGGGTGCTGCAACGGAGTGAAGGGTGTGAACAACGCCGCCAAGACCACCGCTGACCGCCAGGCGGCGTGCAATTGCTTGAAAACGGCTGCTGGTTCTATTAGAGGTTTCGATGCCAATAATGCAGCCTCACTCCCTGGCAAATGTGGTGTCAACATCCCCTACAAGATCAGCACCTCCACCAACTGCGCCACGTATGTTAACTCATTCTCTATACTCTAATTACTCATGTTATTAAACCTAGATATGCTCATCAATTCCAGTGGGTCATTGTTTAATTAAACTATTTAAACTAAATTTATGTAAAGTTATATAATAAATGAGAAAATATTTCTGTTAGCAAAAGTTAACAGAAAAATATTTCTTCTACACTAGATTCGTTCATTTTTATGTTAGTGTGATAAAAAAATTTCTTTTGTTACAAAAGTAAAAATATTAAATCCTAAATAAATATATAAATATAAGCACGGTTTAATGTGTGTTCTTTTAAAGAATGTAAGTTGTATTTTTTTAGTGACTTACACAAAGTCTGACCGGTCATACTTTGTGTAAATACGAAAAGTTGCTTTTTTTAACTTTACACATGAGTGATATGAATCACCTAAAATCAACTTTTCAGATTAACAATCATGAACACAAGTTTGTGTTCTTTAAAATGATACTTCTTTTTCCATATAAGTAAATGGTTAAAGAGATTCAATTTGACTGAATTAGTCAACTAATCGGTGAATAATTTTATTAATGTTTGTAACTTTGCTAGCTACTTAATAGAATTTAGCCAAAACTAAAAGAAAGTTATATTAGTTTGAAATATTGGTTATTATTTAACTTGATTTGTTTGTTGGTTTGTGCAATATTTCAGCATCAAGTGAAGAGTGGATGTGGCGGGGAAGAAGAAGAGAGCATAGTAAATTTTCTATCGCAGTGTTGTAGAATGAATTTACGAGAATAAAGGGAAGGCGACGAGGGCTCCACTTATGCGAGTTTCCTCATGTATTAGCATGTTCCCGTAGTTGTTTCACACTTTGGTCTAGTTATTATCGTGTGTGATGAAATTTGTCTCGGTTGTTGCGTGTATGGCATATATAGTGATTCCATGCTACTTTGCCTTTTTAATTTTCGCAATTGTCTTATTGGTTCTTCTCATCTTCTCTCTTAATTTGTGATGTGATGGGACTGTTGGGCATTCAACATCATTTCTCCCAATCAGAATCGTATCAGCTAATAAGGATAATTAATATTTAATATATCTGGGCCAAGTCAATTAAGGTCCCTTTAAAATCAATTGGTCTCAAGAGTGCCGTTGGGAGGTTTTCGTCGTTAATTAATATGCTTGAGTGTATTTCAGAAAATTAGTGTTCCATCCACCAAGTAAAAAGTTCGGTAATTTTAAAAATAAAAACCACATTGTTCTAAAGTCAAGTTTTGACCAAAATACAATCTAATGACGCAATAATTTTGTAATTACCTCAATAAATCAAATTTATAAGCCTGGAAGAAAAAATAAGCTTGCAATCCACTGGATTATGAAGGGAAATGATTAGGGCACCCTAAACCCTATTAGGATTTATAGAGATCATGTGAGACTTAACCCTTTATTTATAGAGAAATTTACTTCCTATTGAATAAAATCCATTCTCTAAGGCTGGAGGGACTCATTACATCATTACATGGGTTCAGAACACCATAGAACATAACTGTTTTTTTTTTTGGCTAAGAAAATGAATTTATCGAATCAGTCTTTGGACATTTACCGTTTCATATAATTTTCCTGGTAGCAATACTAATTCATGTTAATTTTATAGTAGGGTCCTTGACCCAGTGATCATTGGCCCATAAAATTCATTTTGACGCAACCTGTACTGCCACTTTCGGTGGCTTTGTTTGCATGTGGATCAAAATCTATTCACTATGGTGCACTTTTGATTGGACGGTGGTTGAAAAATCAACCGTGCAAATACTATTGCAACGACGGAAAGTGGCTATAGAAGTTGGATGGTGCTGGACGATTGCAGCACCGATAAATAGGCAGCCTTGCAACATGGTTTAATTAAGAATCCCGAACTTTTCTTGTTTAAGAGAGTGTTTCTTAGCATACCTACTTAGAGAGAATCACCAAGTGTTTTGAGTGTTATTTTCAACGAAAGTGGATTCTCCTAGTTTAAAAGAGATTAATATTTGATATCTCCTTATATTTTAGAGAGAGAAAATGTATATCAACATTCAACAGGTAGTAAAACTATGCTCCTTATATAAGTCACTAGGATTGGTATAGTGATGAAGGGTTTGAGTAGGTTGGATTAGGTTATATTTTCAATTCTCATTTTTTTAAAAAAAAAATGCTTCTTTTGGGCATAAATTTTAAATTTTGAAATAAAATAATTAAAATGATAAAAGAGATGTGCTTGGGAGAAGAGGAATGTTAATTGACAAAGTGTAGATCAGTATGGCGCGACTCTATTTCTATGTTCCATTTTTATGATTTCATTTTCGATTATAGGAAATCCAAAGTAAAATTTTTCCAATTTACATTGTTCTAAGACTAAAATTGTTCCTAACTTGTTTTCACAAATTAGTATTCTCCACCTTATTATTATTATTATTATTATTATTATTATATAAAAGTTGCCTAGACACAAATGAACAGAGGAAATTATATACAAGTGTATAACTATCGGTTTACAACTGAAGTATTAATTTTACACTTGAATTTTTCGAATTGTTAAGTTGAGAGAGAGAGAAATACCGTAGTGAATGACGAAATATGTTTGAGTAAAGGAAAATCGCATATTTAAGAGTTAAAGTAAAGAGAGAAGAGTTGTTTCTCTTTCTTTCTTTTTTTTTTTGGTAGATTGAGTTGTTTCTCTTTATATACATTAAAATAAACTCAATTTTCTTATTTTTCTCTAATTTGATAAAACAATTTTCTGACTTTAATGGAGAAAAAAGATAATGGATCCCCTCATTCTTTTTCATTTTCTTTACAAAAAAACTAAATTTTGGTTATTGTATTCTAGCCATTCCTTCCTTATCTCATTAATACAAGAGTTGTACTATGTGGAGACTCAAGTTGCTACAGAAGTCAACCACCTCAATTGAAGCAGTTAAAAGAGCAGCACTATTTTTTCTTATGTTCAGACTCAGTCATTGCTGATCTATGAATAAAGAAAAATACTTCGGATGAGGTTTAAATATCTTATTTCTTATTTATTTTGCACTTTGAATTAATTTTATAGTCGGTTCAAAGAGTCAAAACTTGTGACGATACTAGAAGAAATCAACTCACTCAAAAAAGATAATTAAGATTGAGTTAACACTAACAAAATAAATAAAGAAAAGCGTACAACCAACAAGTTAGACAATGAAAGACAACTTTCAATCTTCAATATTTCTTTTGTCTTTTTCTAAAATCGCGATTGACTTTTATAATTTTGTTTGTTATTTATTGATAAACTTAAAGTTTATCATATTTTAAAAGATTAAAATAACAATAATTAACTCTCAAATTTTGTCTAAAGTATGAAAACTAAGAGTTATTTGACTAGAATATATTAACATTGTTCCTCTTATATATAGAATCCTTACTGTTTTTGTAGGAGAATCAAGTTCAATTGGAGCAATGATTGATCTAGAAGGATTTAAAGCGATAAATGAGAAACAATGATTTAGTGAAAAATTCTTTGATTCTATCTTCTCCAAAAATTATTGTACTAAAAATGCTTAAAAGTTGTAGATTATTCTTTTATGTTTTCAACGAGACCAAAATCACATCAATCGAAAAAGTATAATTCAAATTATGCCCAAAATATAAAATATTGTGCTTGTTGCCAAGTGCCCTCAACATATTTAATGGTTTTGTCATAGTGCGCCAAAGTGTGCTCCAATTTATCAAATTACGTGTTTTAGCGCGTTGTAAACATAAGTATTATAAATCAAGTCAAATATTATAAATTAATTTTAATCAAATGAAAATATAAATGATTCTCAAAATTCATATTTTCTAAATATTTCAAATAATAATGTAATAACTTTCAAATACTTTTAAGCTCTAAAATGTAGACATATCACAAGTTTCATAATATTATTGTAAATCATTTCTCCAACATTATCAAAATTAATATAAGTATTAAAAATAATATAAACCACCTAACTTAGATTCATATTACCCCATCCCTTAAAAACATTTAAGTATCAAATGATTCACATTTTTATTTATCAAATCATCATGTAAAATGATAAATTAAATTATAGTTGTAATAGCAATAATAAATAAAATTATAAATAATTTATCATAAAAATTAAAATATAATTTGAATTGTTATAATTTAAATCGAACTTTGAAACTGTCAATTGGTGGGATGATTCGCAGTATCTAAGTTCTTGTCCATCAATTGAACCTTTTAGCATTTTTAATGGAGAAAATTTTAAGCGATTCCGGCTCATATAACTCTCTGTGGTCCACCCAATCAAAAGGTTACACATAGATTTATTAATCCACGTCAGTATTGTAGTTCGCTTTTTAATTTTTTATTTATTAATATTATTTTATTTCATTTACCTCCTCCTTTTCCTTTTTTCCCTCCCGCCTCACCTTTGCAAACGAAGTTTTTTGATTTCTTTCTCTTCTCTCTTATTGTTTTCTATTCCCTTCCAAAGCTTTCAAGGAGTTCATCAGAATCTGATCATTGTTAGCTGAATTTTTTTTTCTTATTCGCCAGAGCCTTTCCCGTTATCGATTTACCACAATATTTTGAAACAGTCCCATTACTGATTTACCAGAATATTTTGTAGAGAAGAGGAAGATGCATGCTATAAAGAGGAAAATGGTGCATTTTATATATAATGTGAGGGACTATGGTATTTCATCTGATTTGTTCAATTTTGTGAAAATAGAAGGTGCATATTCTTATTCTTCTTTCTGCGTTAATAAAAGTTGAATTTTCTAGATAACAGACATCGATTCTTTGGTGACGAATTTTGATTTAAATTAGATTTTTATTTTTGTAATATGCTTGTTTGTTTAAATAATTTTTCACCCTAAGTTTGACTTTTCTGGTCATCTTTATGATGAAAATCAGCATCTTTTTGTAGGATTTTTGTAGATGGAGGAAACAAGCACTTCAGAAAAAAGAAATGGATAATTTTATATATTCAGATTTGTCTTCATTTAGTCCTGACAGTGAATATGGTGATGAACAAAGAGAGATGCCGGTGGTTGTGAGTAAGGATCAAGATGGATATGAATCAAAAATTGGAATGTTGTTTTCAAATGAAGATGAAGCTTATAAGTTTTATAATGGATATGCTAAATTGGTTGGTTTTACTGTGAGAAAATCAAGATATCGAAGATTGTCAGATGGAACCATAAGTCAGAGAACATATGTTTGTGGAAAAGAAGGATATAGAAAATTGAAGGACCCTTCATATGTGAACAAGAAAAATAGAAGAGAAACAAGAACTAGTTGTCAAGCTATGATAAGTTTTAACATTGAGAAGAATACTTGGATGAAGCACATGCTAATATGATTGAAGATATGGACAATGTTGCATTAAAACCATGTAGTGTGTATTCATATTTTGTTGAAGTTGTTGGAGGAGCTGAAAATGTTGGATTTTTAAAATCTGATTATAATAATTTTTTACAAAGTAAAAGAAACAAGACCCTTGAAGCAGAAGATGCACAAAGTTTTATTAACCATTTTGAAAGTCTTCAAGCAAATGAATCATCCTTCTTCTATACAATGCAAGTGGATTATGAAAATCGCATGACTAATTTTTTTGGCATGATGGCATATCAAGGACAGATTATAATCACTTTGGAGATGTGGTCATTTTTTACACAACCTATAGAACAAACAAGTATAATATGGCTTGTGCACTTTTCATAGGGGTAAATCATCATAAATAAAGTGTTTTGTTTGGTTGTGCTTTCTTATTGAATGAGACAACAGAGTCATTCGTTTGGCTAATTGAATCATTTTTGGAAGCAATTAATGGGTTACAACCTAAAACAATTTTCATTGATCAGTGTCTAGCAATAGCCAATGCTATTAAAAGAGTTCTTCCTAAATCTCAACATCGACTTTGTTTATGGCATATTGGCCAAGATGCTGCTAAGCATCTTTCTTATTACTTGAGAAAACCTGACTTTAAGGTTTTATTTAATAGGTGTCTCTACAATTGTGGATCAGAGCAGGAGCTTGAAAGGTGTCTCATTTAGTCACAAAAGTTGATATTTCAAAATGCTCATGGTTGAAAAAAGATTATGAGTTATAAGCAAATTGGTCCCCGACATTTAGTAAGAATTATTTCTCAGCTGACATCTTATCAACACAAAGAAGTGAGAGTATGAATAATGTTTTTCGTACTGTCACTTGCAAGACGATGTCTCTAACTCAATTTGTAATTCGTTATGAAAAAGTTTTGGAGCGTAGATGATGGTCAGAATTGCAAAAGGACTTTGAGTGCAATCAATCCACACCTCCTAGAGTAAAAGAACTTGTAGGTATTAGAATCGTTTGAATCTTTATCCGTGACAATTGAAAAAATGAATGAAAATGGTATGGCTAAAAAAATTTATTTTATTTTATTACAGGTATAGCCAAGCAAGCCCCAACACGTGCAAATTTTGAAAATTTGCGTGTTGGACACGTTTCGACACGGACACGTTCCGACACGCTCGGACACGCGGTCAACATTTAGGGACACGCGGTCAACTCTAGAACACGTTCGGACACATTTTTTGGACACGCGGTTAATGCTCGGACACGTTTTTTTTTTAAATCTTAATTTTATTTTATTAACTAAATATAAAAAAAATAATTTATAAATTAATTTTTTTCTATTATGAAATTTGACATGAAAAAATAACAAAGTACGAAAAAAAAGTAATTATATTTATGTTATAAAATTTAAATATTTGATTGGTTATATGACTTATTATGGACTCTTATATGTATTAAATATAAATTATATTATATATATTAAAAAATTTATTTAATATCAAAATGTGTCCCAACGTGTTGAAATATGACATTTTTTAGAATTAACGTGTCGGCGTGTCGTGTCGTGTCCCGTGTCAGTGTCGGTGCATCATAGGGTATAGCTGAACAAGTTGCGCGAGTATATACTCATGTTATTTTTGAAGAATTCTATAAAGAATTGTTTGAATCTTTATCTGTGACAATTGAAAAAATCAATGAAAATAACACTTTATTTTGTTACAAGTTAGTTAAATTTGATGATGAGAATTGAGAAGCAATATTTTGTGACATTTGAAACTGCAAATTGCTCTATTGAATGTACTTACAGAAAGTTTGAATCAGTTGGCCTCTTAAGTCTTCATGCATTGAAAGTACTTAACTTTCACAATATTTTTCAAATACCGTCTCAATATATCTTGAAGAGGTGGACAAAAAATGCTAAAGATGGTTTTAGTATAAGCAACAATGGCAAACAGGTTTGCGACAATGGTAAACAAGGAATAAATTACCGTATAAATAAAATAATGAAGAAAGCCATTTATTTTGCCACCAAAGGTGCATTGACAGATGAAACAATCAAAATGGCTGAAGATCAACTAGAGCATGGGAAAAAAAGATTGGAAATGATGTTAAAAAATGATAGTGACATGATTGATAAGATTGCAGTTGACTGTAAGACTAGTGATGAAGAGATAGATGAGCATAACACATTAAATTCAAAAAAGTCTTAGATCCGCAACGTGTTCGAGCAAGGGGAGTTACAAATGCTAGACCCAAAAGTCAGTTGGAAAAGAAAAGGTGCAATAGACATCAATCACAAGCTCTTGGTAAATCTCACGGTGCTAATACATCTAAATCTTTAAGACATAATCATGTTGATATAGGTACAATGAATCAATTAATTAGGATCATACTATTTATTTATTTATATGTGATTTTAAAATTATTGTTGTTATCTTCTTTTGTGATTTAGGAAAAGCTTCAAGTACGACAACTAAAGATTCTAGCACCTCTTATACAACTCTGTTAGCTTATAATTTTCCATATATCTCTCTAGTGGCAAATGCTAATACAACTCCACCATCTTATTGTTTTCCATATGTTTCTCTAGTGGCAAGTGTTAATACAACTACACCAATTTTTTGTGTTCCATATATCTCTCAAGTGCCATATATGCAGGTATTATTAAGAATAACATCTTATGATACTATTATAGCTTCAACAAATGACTATTTATGCGCTTCATACTGATTGTGATTCTATATCATAGAAGATTAACTTATTTTAGTTCCTTTTTGCGAACTCTTTTTTAGGTTAATAGAACTTAAGAGCTCATAGAAGTCCTGTAGGCTACCATGGAGATTGACATGCAATATTTTAGTGGTATTGCAAGCTATCATGGAAGCTGTCATGCAAGTTTCTTTTTTTTTTTGAATGGTAGGAAGTCTTGCAAGCTATCATGGAAGCTGTCATGCAAGTTTTTTTTTTGAATGGTAGGAAATCATACAAGCTATCATGGAAACTGTCAAGCGAGTTTTTTTTGAATGGTAGGAGGTTTTGCAAGTTGTCTTAGAAGTTTTTTTTGAATGGAAGGAGGTTTTGCAATCTATGGAAGCTGTAACACCCCGTATATATCCGGTAATGTTATCATACTATCGTATTAAGCAGCGCTTAATTAAATATGCGAAATATCTTTTTCTTTTCAATTATGATGTCATTATCGTTACCAACTTGCTTATTAATCAATTAATAAAACATCGCCTTTATGTAATTGCAATAAAACAGCTAACTAAAATACCTTATAACATAGATAATAAAAATGTGGCTCTAGTCACGGAACTACAACAACGTAGACCGGACCATCTAACAGTTTATACAACTCCAATCTAAAGTACTACATAAAATGTCATGGACAATCCTCATGCTCACTCAAATAAGGCAACTCGCCCAACATCAGTCTCAACAACAACATAAACATAAATAGCGGAAAACATAAACAGCATCCATATCCAGTCATGGCAGCAATACAACATAATAACATCAACTAAGCTCTGGCCTCCTACCACCAGAGGCATCAGTCACCAAACTACCAGAACCTGAAATAAGCATTCCCCAAACGTGGGGTGAGATCTCTAAACAAGAAATCTCAGTAAGACAAGGGGTCCTCAAGGATATTCCACCCCAAGCTCACTTACATGTGCAATATAAGTTTAAAAGCAGTTCATCAATATCATTTCTAAAACAGTGCAATGCAGCAGATAATCATGTCATGTGTGTCAATACTATTCTACTGGCCAGAGAAATGCAGGATTTATATACGCCAAATACCCACACAGAGTGCAAGACACCACTTGCATTCACCCCGGATCACCATATCGTATGACACCACATACTCAGGCTTACCGTCAAGATGAAACAACACATGCATATTAAAAGCCATTACACATAAAGCTCAATATCATTTCAAATATTCAAAGCATGTAACACAGCATGCATATAACCACACCCCCATGGGACATGGTGGAACCACAACATAGCTAAACCGAGGACACAAAAGCTTACCTTGCAAGCTAACACCCAAAGCCAAGAGTCCACAGCTCAAAGTCCAAACACAGCAGATTCACAATCTGTTATGGACCAATACTATATCAATAATAATTTACAACAAGCATATAACTTAAAGACAACGCCTTTCCTTTACATTTTACGTCTTAAGGCTCCATACAAGCCATAAGCCCTTAATCACTTGATTCTGACTTAGTTTATTAATTACAGAAGTTCAACTTCATCAATCTAGGGTCCACAAACCCCCAATAGCCTACTGTACACACAGCACAGCTACTGTTCTACGAAATCCCAGAATATCCGGATATTCCTCGGGACCATATCCGGATATGCAATATCCGGATATTTCACTGTACATATCCGGATATACAATATCCGGATATCCAGATTTCCATATCCGGATATCCAATATACGGATATCCACATTCCATATCCGGATATCACATATCCGGATATTTCTCGGGCACATATCCGGATATTTCACGACAGAATGCAGAAACTGCATTTCGTGAAGATATCCTTCCAAGGTTTCATTTTTAACACTTTCAAACGTTAAAGCATGCATCTTTATACTGTTTAAGGGTCATACCACTGTTGGTTACTTGATTAACTCATTAAACATGCAAAGATCACACCTTTAACCCATAAAACACAAGCTCAAGGTAGGTACAACTCACCAAAGCTCAAAACAGAGGATCAATGGCTCTTGGAGCTCACCACACTGCCTCTACAGGTTCTGGAGATAAGGTGTACGAAAATGCAACACAAAAGGTTGGTCCTTTCTTCACAAAGAAGCTTCTTTAAGCTCCAAAATGCCACCACAATGGCTAAACACTCTCAACCCCCAAAGTCAGCAACCAAGGACCCTCCAAACAGAGCTAAAAACCAGAATGATGCTCCCAACACACCCACCCTAGTGTTTCCCACTCACTCAAGGTGTCTACAAGAAGAAAGTGTGAAGAAAATGGCTTCAAGCCTCAAGAAAGGAGAAGAGAAACCTATGGAAAAGTGTTTAAAGGTTCTGGTCAGCCACTCTCACGCACAAAAACTGAGGTCCTAGGGTTATGTGCCAATCATAAGGCTATATATAGTGGTTTAACCATTAAACGCACAATATTAACTTTAAATGCTACGCTTAGCATTTTAATCCCAAACTTTGGAATCTGAAACTACATATTTTTTCAAGAATTTTCATATTTTTCTTATAATTTTCTGAGCACCTTTCCGGTACGCGCTTTTCAAAGCCAGTACCGGTTTCTAGCACCAGTTCTAAATATTTGGACTTGAAACTCGTTTTACAAGTCCTACATATTATTCTAGTAATTATCTTGCACTTATTATAATTTTCCGGGATACTTTTTCGGTACGCATTTATACCGACTAGCAGAACCGGTATCTGCACTTTTCTTCTGAAAAGCGACTTTCAGCATTATTACTCACTTACTAATATTATTAAAGCCTCATAATAATTATTAGGGTCAATTATAGAATCATTTCCTATTTTCTCATAATTATCTAATTAATTCCTTAATTAACGGTGCAAGTTCTTACATTCACCCCACCTTTTTAGGATTTTGACCTCAAAATCATAAACATACCTGGTCGAAACTCGGGGTACTGCCGGAGAAGCTCATCCTCACGCTCCCAAGTACACTCCTCAAGAGTTCTTCCGGCCCATTGCACTTTGACCATCAGAATGATCTTGCTCCTCAGCTGCTTCTCGCCACGATCGAGAATCTTTAGTGGTTCAACGGGAGTCTTTAGGTTCTCTCGAACCTCCACATCATCCGGTTGCACCACGTGCGACGGATCTGCTATGTAGCTCCGAAGCTGAGACACGTGAAACACGTCGTGGATGTTAGCCAGGTTCGGAGGCAAGGCAAGCCGGTAGGCAATAGGTCCTACTCTACCAAGAATCTGGTATGGCCCAATAAACCGCGGGCTCAGCTTCCTCACTCCGAGTGCCCGTCCAACACCGGTGACAGGTGAAAGTCTCACAAACACGTGCTCACCCTCACTGAACTCCAGTGGACGACTGGCGATTTTGCGCCTACTTCAGCTTTTCCCTGATCATCTGGATCTGCAGGGTGGTATCTTGGACGAAGTCCAAGCCAAACAACTCACGATCCCCAACCTCAGACCAGCAGGTAGGTGTACGACACCTCCTATCGTAGAGCGCCTCGTAGGGTGCCATGCCCAGGCTAGCATGGAAACTGTTGTTATACGAAAACTCCACCAATGGAAGGTACCTATCCCATGCCGAGCCTTGCTCCAACGTGCAAGCCCGCAACATGTCCTCCAAGGTCTGGATAGTCCGCTCAGTCTGTCCATCAGTCTGAGGGTGATAGGCTGTACTCAGTCTCAACTGCGTACCAAAAGCTCCCTGCAGCGCCTCCCAGAACCGAGATGTGAACTTCAGGTCCCTATCACTAATGATACTCTCGGGCACCCCGTGAAGCCTCACAATCTCGCGAACATACAGTTTGGCCAACTGCTCTGTAGTGAAGCTCACCTTCACTGGAAGAAAATGAGCAGACTTTGTCAATCTGTCCACAATGACCCATATCGAGTCACAGCCAACCTGAGTCTTCGGTAAACCCACAACGAAGTCCATGGAAATGCTCTCCCATTTCCACTCTGGAATCTCAAGAGGTTGAAGTTTACCAGACGGCTTCTGGTGTTCAATCTTCACTTCTGGCAGATCAAACACTTGGACACATACACAACTATGTTCTTCTTCATTCCTGGCCAGCAGAAATTTCTCTTCAGGTCTTGGTACATCTTTGTAGCACCAGGATGAACAGTAAACTGCCCCTTATGGGCCTCCGCCATAACCTCTTCGGTCAAGGGACCTTGAGGAATCACAACACGCTTCTAAAACAACAGAAGTCCATCCTCATTCCAAGACACATCGTCTTGGTTCTTCACGTAGTCGAGGCACTCTCTCTGCACTTGCGCCTCTTGGATCTTCTCCATAAGCTCATTCCTGACTCTCAGTCTCCATCTCGAGAAGTGAACCCCCAAACAAGGTGGTCACCTTCAGATCTCGAAACTTCTCTATGAGGTCGAAGTCACCCATCGTCAAACTAGATAGACTCACGGATTTCTGACTCAAAGGATCAGCTACCACATTGGCCTTGCCAGGATGGTACTTCAACTCAAAGTC